AGGCAGCCCTTGGGGCGGGCCCATCACACCAGGCTCCGCCCCACGGGGGGCAGGGGCTACACCCAAGCTTGGCTCAGCAGGGCCGTGGGACCGGGTCACCCCTCCTGCCACCAGTCATTTCTCCCCCTTCCCCGAGGGCCCCCCTGCCCTCTCTCTGTTCAGGGGGGGCCGGGCTGTGGGTCATGCAGGACGGGCCGGGAGAGCCAAAAGAGCCACGGCTGCCCCTGCCTGGCGGGCGTTCACTCTGGTCCCTCAGGATGGCGATGGCACCACAGAGAGCCTGTTGGCCGAGTCCCCTAGCCTGGGACTGGACGGGGAGCTGTGGGAGGAGCTGATGTGCCAGGTTCCCCTCCTGTGAGCTTGCCCACTAACCCACCCAGCCTGGCTTCCCCTCGAGGATCAGCCCCTTGGCGTGTCCAGTTGGTCCTCCCCCAGGCCCTGCATACAGGGAGCAGGTGGTAGAGCCCATGTGTGTTGGGTGGGGGCACAAGGCTGGCCCCACCCAGAGATCCACGAGCTGTAGGGTTAGAAAGGGCTGGGGCTGGCGGAGCAGCATGATGACTCTGCTGTGGTGGCTCAGAGGAGACAGCTGGGGCTGCCCGTCTTGATAAGGAACATTTCTCAGAAACACCCGGATAGGCAGGAAGGCGGCAGGGAGTGGAGAGCGAGATACAGCACATACAGGATTGCCCCACACGGTCCTGCCCTGGGGCACAGACACCCCGCTAGCCCCCTCCCCCGCGCTGATTGGCCATGCATATCCATTCCTCCCCACACACCCCTCTATTTCTCTCTCCCTTCATCTCTCTCAAAACAGAGGCCAAACAGTGGGGTGGCATGGAAGGACCCTAGAGTGGGGACCCTTATTGGGGTGACACAAATGAGAGCAACAGAGGAGACTCAGGGTTCAGGAATGGGGGACTTGTAAGGGGTGACATACAGAGGTTGGGGGAACTGATCCTTTCAGTGGGGGACCCCTATTTGGGAGACGCATGGAGGCCCAGAGCTGAGCAGCTCATGGGGAGCTGGGGCAGGAGCGCAGGATCTCAGGGGGATCCATATTGGAGTGACACACGGGGGGAAGTAGATGGGGCAAGTGAGGGGAACCCATAAAGGAGTGTCACATCGGGGAGCAAAGCATGCAAAAGAGGGGGACCCATCCCGGGGGTGACGGAGCAGATGGAACACGCCGAGGCCCAATTGTGGGGTGACATGCGGGGGTGGGGGATAAATGGGGCAGAAGTAGGTCGGGGAAGCTGGATCGATTGAGCCAGGCTCTACGCTGGGGCAATACCTGGGTCGCGGACCCCATGGGGGGTCCTGTGGGGCAGTTGGGGGGCCACACAGACTGTCCTTTCTCCAAGAAAGGAGCGGCCCAGCCGGGATCTATTTCAAGCCCTGGGCTCCTCCGAGCCAAACTTGAAGATGCTGCTATAGTTAGCCCTTGGCACGTCACCCCTCCCGGCTCCCCCCGGGAGCTCTATATAACCCCAGGGGGATTGGCAGGGCTCCCCAGCCTGCCCTGCTCCCCCACCAGCAGAGACTCCCAACAGCAGCCCCTGCCCGCCTGCGGAGAGGAGATGGTAAGTGAGCCGGACACACGCCTGGGAGGACGCCGGGGAACTGAACAGAGACACCCCTCCCCCCACGCACACACACGCCGCTTTGGGACCCTCCGACTTGCCTGCCGAAACCTAGTGTGGAGAGAAATGACCAGGGGATCAATCGATCCATATAACCCCATGCCCCCCCCATGTATCCCCGACACCCCCTCTCTCTATCCATCCATCTCTTCACCCTCACATACACCCCCCAACTATCTCCTAGCTCCATCCATCTGTCCCTCCCAGCCATCTATCTCCTCCACACCCCAATCTACCCACCCTCTTTCCACCCGCCCCACTGCCTCAGCCCTCTCTGTCTCTAGCCCTGCATTCCCCCTCCGTCTATCCCCACACCCCCTCCTGGCATCCCCCAGGGATCACTTCCCCTGCGCTTTCCCCAGGGAAAAACCTGGGCTAGCTCTGTTATCAGTTGGGGGCACTCTTCCCCCCACAGCTAGACACCCAGTCTTGTCACTGCTCCAAACTATGGCCCATGTGGCCCCCTTCCCCTACTCCCTCCCATGAACCCCCTTGCCTCACCAACTCCAATCCACTCCCCAATAACTGCGGAGCACCCCATCTCCTGGGAATTCCCATGCACCCCAGTTTCCCCATTAATGTCCATACACCCACCAGCAATTCCCAAGCACCCCATTTCTTTTCATAACTCCCACACCTCTCAATGTCCCCTCTGCACCCTAATTCCAATAGCACCCACTGCACCCCAGTTCCCTCTTTAGCTCCCATGCACCCCAGATAAGCCCCCTTCTCGAGGTTCACCTCAAGAGCTCTGCCAGTTGCCCCCCATCCCATCTCTCCGACTGTGCACCCACTGATCAAGGACAAGGTGGATGAGGATGTGAGGGGCACCAGCCTGCGTCCAGGGCTCAGATGCGCGCCGGTGGGTGATGGCTCATGGAATTAACCTTTTTCACGCCGTGGTCTGTCTGCTTCTCCTCCCCCCTCCCCTCGCAAATCCCAGGCACCCAAGAAGGCCAAGAGGAAGGCAGCGGAAGGCAGCTCCAATGTCTTCTCCATGTTTGACCAAACCCAAATCCAGGAGTTCAAAGAGGTGAGACTAGGAGCTGGGGTGGATGAAAGGGGGGAGGAAGGTTCAGTCCCCCTCTCCAGGGGGCTGGGTTTCTCCACCAAAAGAGTGGGGTGCGGGGGACCACTTGGTCCCAGGACACCCCGAAATGATCCATCAGAAGCACCTCCTCCGAGATCTCCCCGCAGCATCCTTCTCCCTGGGCACAGCTGTTTCCAGCCCCCGCCAAGGACGGGCAGTTTCCTTCCCCGGATCCCAGGTGTCTATTTTGGGGGCCAGAGGGTGGAGATGTGACATCGGTGGCTGGGTTGGAGGCGCCTTACAAGGAAATCCCTGGTCATGTGGAATTTCACTAGGCTGTGGAACTCACTGCCACAGGATGTCACTGAGGCCAAAATTGTTTAAAAGACTTTTCAGACCTCCAAAAGCTTCAAAGAAGGACTGAACATTGATATGGCTTTCTAGGGCATCCAGGATTGTTTTAGTGAATGCTGGCACATTTTGGAAGTTATTCATTAACCTTACCCTTCAGGGTTTAAATCGGTCTTGAACTATTCCGGAGTTAAAAGGAGACCTAATGTGAACACAGCTTCAAAACGAGACCTAATGTGGACACAACTTCTCTCTCAACTGCTTCCTGCATGCCGCACTTCCTGTAGCTCCCTCTGGGGCTGGGGGGCGCCCTACAGCCCTTGGCATCTCTCCAGTCCCATGATCCTTTGCTCCTCCCCTTAGGCCTTCACCGTCATTGACCAGAACAGAAAAG